ACACACACACACACACACACACACACACAGTGGCATTTCATATTAAACACAGAAAAACACGGATTTTGAGTTTTTTAATCTGAGAACTTGGGAATTTTTTTTATCACAGAATTTGGGATTTTTAAACAGAGAAAACCAGAATCCCAGTTGATAAGTTTATCACTTTTACTGAATACTGATAAGCTTGTAAATGAAATATGATATATTAATTTAATATATAAGGCTAAAATGCATTATATTTGAGGTCTTACAATGACACACTGTTCTCAAACATAAATTTATTCACAGAAACTTCACTCTCAACCAGTCACCTTATTCTTTTTTGACAGCTAGCTGTAAATGTAATTAGTGGATCACTAATACAATATATGGGGGAATTAAAAAACGTACAGCTACCAATTTTCAGTAGCTCCTTGTTTTTACATCCAGTGGGTCTCCACATGGGCACAGCAATTTGCCTGCACACTATGATTTGCAGGATTGCAGCCTAAAAAAAACGTAGCTCTTGCAAACTGTAATTAACACTAAGATTCTTAGTGAGTAGCAATATTGGAAAATATCCAACTATACAGAAAGATATGACCAAACAAGAAAAAATGCACTACAGTATAACCTCATAAATCCGGCACGCTCAGGACCAAGCAGTTGCCAGAAATTTGAAAACGATGGATTTTTTAAACCAGCATGGCAGCCGGTTGTGGAGCATGGGGGGCAAAGGGTAGCAGAGGCTGGTCCCAGAGCAGTGGCCACACACAGAGTGGCGGTGCAGGTTGGCAAATGGCAGTGGCAGCTGCCATGTGCAAGCTTCCCCTCCACATCCGGGAGGGCGGGGGCAGTGGTGGAGTGGTGGCCGGTCCTGGAGCAGCAGGGGGAAGTGCCGGATTTTTGATAATTCCGGATTTTTGGTATATGGCTTTATGAGGTTATACTGTATTTCAAAATACAGAATACACAGAATACAGTCATATACATGGAAATCGTGCGCATGATATAATAGTGCTTGTGGACCCCTGTGAGGATTGGCGTCACATTGTATAAACGTAGGAAGAGAGATGGACAATACTTACTGGTTTAGTGTTACATCGAGAATGAACGATAACCCAAAAGCATCAACCTGGAAGCTGGCTCGAGCAACGTGAGTGGACTGCAATATCAAAAAGGTTAGAACAAATTAGTGTTTAGGTCCAAACTATACCATATAGATTGTTAAACATAATAAAGCCAGAAATAAATATAATTTGCTAAATATTGAAGTACCATTAGCCAATCAGAATTCTTACTGAAATGACATAACAGTGTCAAATTGTACTGAGCAAATGTATTTTTTCCTTAGGCTACTATTCTTATTATAACATCTGTTTTTATTGCAGCAGGATGACCAAAAACAAATAAAAAGAGAATAAGTGCTTTCATAATAATCTTAACTTCACAAGCCATTCTCAGAATTAGCTTCTCCAGAGAGGAATTATCTTTGAATGGTAACCAACTGGGGTTCTACCTCTTGTATATCATCTCCACATTGAACCACAGGACCTGTAGTCCACAATTCCTTTCTTTGGAATTCACATTCTGAGCAAGAATGTAAAACACAAGGTGGCTTTCCCTGGCTAACTGTCTAATTTACCTCTGGATCTGAGTCTGGAGGCAGGACTTCTGGAAAATAGTGATATCTACCAATATGAAACACTCTTTTGGTTGGACTGTTGTGTTATGTTCCGTCCTCAGAGATACTGAATATTCTAAAATCCCACTGACATACGAAATTAACTGACCCTTTAGATCCCTGGAATATTCTCCATACTAAGTGTATATATAAGGTCAAAAGAATTGTTGAATAAATTGTGGAGCCATGCAATAAGCTGCACATATCATAAACTGTTGGCTGTCTTGATAACATCCTATGCAACAACCCATCTCTACCAGAGCCACTTCCAACACTCCAAAGCCCTGAGAAGCTCCAAAGGCTGCCATTAAAAAGGAAAAAAGAAACAGGAAGAAAAGAGAGAAATAAAACACTAAGTAATTTTCTTTCCATTCTTTCTGGTTAAATATATCCGTTTTCCATTAAACCAAGACCATACCCATTCAATCCTGCACCAAAAATAAGTGAAAAGTCCAATTTTTTGCAGTCATCTTGGCTGGAATTGGGACCTTTATTCCATTAAAAAAAAAGGGAAATTCCTAGATTTCTGAGAGAACACGGCCATTTTTCCTAGCCCTGAAAAGCCTCAAAACTGATTTTTTTCATGGAATTGCTACTTAGTCAATTTTGGATGAGTTTTATTTTTTCTTAGCTCTGTGAACAAATGCAATCAAATACCAGATTTAGTACTTAAATATACATCCAATCACTTAAAACATACAAAAGAAAATTTATCATCTTCCACAAACATTGCCCCCTTAACCCAAATCAATGTCCACAGGAGTCATGCTCTTTTCTTTGCTTTCTTTCAATTTGACAGTTTTTTTGTTCCCATCAATGTCAGTCTTTTTCTATATAATTATTTACCTCTTTTTTTCCCCTAGAAATCTGAAAAACACAAATCTTTCTATCTTATACTTGGATGAGTTTTAAATTTAAATAGTTATAACTTTTCTCTCCCTTTGAACTTTCTATACCAGTGGTGCTCAACCTATGGCCCACAGACTAGATTTGGGCCCTAAAGTGAATGAATCTGGCCTGAAGATCAGTGGGGACCATGGGCAAGCAACTCTGTCTGATCTGGCCCATTCTCTCTCTTGTGCTAGGAAACTGGTAACCTCTACAGGCCTCCCTGCTCTCCACGCCCCCACCCCTACACTTCCCTCTGGCCAGGGGCAGATCCAGAAGAACAGTAGCCATGTGGTTACCCCTGCCCCTTCACCTGTGTAGTATGTGTGCAGTGAGCTCTCTCAGCTCACCAGCATGTCAACTCAGCTCCTGCCACAGGTCCATATATGCCATGGCCCCCTGAGCTTACCAGCTGCTCAGCACAGGCTCTGGCCAGAGCCCCTGATTTTACACAACTCCTGAGAATGCTGGTATGAGCACCACCACCACTTTTTCCCCTTTTTCCCCCTGATGCTGAATTCCTGTGGGGGTGAGGGGGAGGGGGAAAATAGCAATAGCATTCACCCCTAGGCTCCACAGCCACTTTTTTTTTTTTTTTTAATTTCCTGTCTTGAACCAAATCACCCAGATCAGCTCTAAATGCTATTGACTGAGTTAGCTCAGTTGTTCAAGTCTGTGTGGTGCTACCACCAGCAAATATCCTACCTCCCAGACTCTTCAGCCTGTGGCTTCAGATACTCCCAAATCCATGACAGACATCCTATGTGCAAGCCCAGAGGCCTGGGAGTTCAGATGCCCCCTACTCTCAGTTGCCCCTAGTCAAAAGGTTTAAGGAACCATCTACAGCAAAAGCCCAAGAGCAATCCCACATCATAATAAATTGTGTAGCCCAGATCCTTGCATTTGGAGGCATTTGTAGACTCTCACTTAGCCATGTGAAAGCAGGGCCCCTGACTAGAGCCTGTCCCAGTCAGCTGGTTATCTAAGAAAGATCACCTCTGGTAGAAGCCATGCTGGTGAGCTCAGAGAGCACAGCCAGAGGGTGCGGCTATTCCCTCCTCACCCCAATCCTGGATTGGTCCAAGCTTACAGCAAGCACTGCTTAACAAAGGTACGCTCTTATTCTCTTTCTCTCCTCTCTGACATTGGTGGGAGGTAAAGGGAGATGGCTGTCAAAGGGGAGTGCAACTTGGTCACAATTAGCCCTCCCACCACTCTAAAAAGACTGAGCTCTCCAATTTTTACAGTTAAAATTACTCAGTCACCTGCATCAGATATGCTCTAAATTATGGCCAACCGCCCCTTGTTCCTGTTAGATATGGTTGTCCCAGCTACACACCCTTTCTCTCAGAACTAACTCTCACATGCCCAGGGCCAATCGCTAGGATGTTGCGATCTAGGAAAACATGTCATAACTGTGCCACCCAGTGATCACACTGTACAGCTGGAATCCTGACAGGGTCAGGTAATCCAGTTTTGTAGCTACTGTGTGCCACTAGGGCAGCACGCAGCAGTTTAAGCCAGCTGGAGAACTGGGCCCAATAAAACCTTATTTAAAAAAAAAAAATGGCAATTAAGATATTAGGACATTTATCCTAAAAATCCATTCTGCAAGATCCATTGATATATCACTTCCACAAAAATGCCTATGAGGAGATCACCAAAACAGAATTGTTCACAGAATTTTATTGAGTGTAGTAAGTAGCTGGAAGGTTGTTTGGTAAGAAAAAGGCTGTTCAGTAAACTTTCAATACAAAGGGTAAAGGAAACTAATAATGAACAGTGAATAATGAAAGTAATAATGAACATTGTTAACTATCCCAAACAAAATTTAAGTAATAAGCACACATTTTAAAAATAGTGATTTTTCAGTGCTGAGAAAATAAAACATCTTGCTGAATCTAGTGGAAGCATTAGAGAAAGCTCAGGTTGCATCTCCTCTTTTAGATGCCTGAATACTAGCCATAGAATTTCATCAAGTGAAACATGCATCTTCTCGATGAGCTTCTATTTGAGACACTTCAAAGTAACAGGGGAATTACCTCATTCATAGCTAAGTTCTAGTGGTTCATTTCCTCATTGTTAAAAATGTCCTGTGTATCCAAATTCTCTTCCCCCACTCCCAGTTTTGCAAATTTAGCTATTTAAGAAAATACAGTGTTACAATTTTATTAGTCAATTAATACCAGAAATTGTAACTCTAATACTTTAAGATTATGGTGTTCTCAGGATATTAAAATTATTCTTGAAACCTCTACTCCCTCTGCCTGCAGCAAAGCTTGTTCAAAACCTTAGTTTTGCTGTGAAATAACACTAAAATGCTGGTATCATTTTAAGTAACACTCAGGACCCTTGAATATGGAGAATATGGGAGCAAAGTTAATTTTCTTAGTGTTTCCAGTGATGCCCATGCAGCACCCCTCCCTCCCACTCCCCAGTTTGTATTTCACTTTCAATCCAACCTTCCACCATTTACATGTGCAGTTCTCAGGACAAAACCTAGGAGGGTTGAGAGATGTCCAGATCTGGGATGATCTTCACTGAAACTGCCCGTAAAGCATGGAGTCTATCAAGACTATCTTTCCACAAATCAACAAGTTGGTCTTTGTTTCTCAGCTCTAAGGCAGCAAGCAGTGTGTGCTCCTGATTTGAGTTCCTAATTCTTTCTTCTCCGGTTAGATTTGCCACTTCTTTTTTTACAGCTTCTCGATGAAAATAATATAGCGGTTTAACAACCTCCTATTTAATCAACAAATACAGACACTTTCTTCTCAATCATTTTTGTTTATCCATTAGCAAATACCAATTTGTTGAGTAAACCTCTCACTTCAGCAAATTAGTCAGTCTTTCTGAGCTTGCTTACACACCAGCACCTAGCTACTGCACAAAAAAATGTATACAGAAACAGCCATTAGCTGTACTGTATATTAATACATCTATTGAATGCAGTGAGCATTGTGGAGCATGGTATTTTATGCCCTTAACAATAAGCTAACTTATATACTATTTATGATCTGTCTACATAACGTAACTGATAAATCCAAATATGTAATCAGCAATGACAGCAGCCATTGCTTAGATAATAATGAGTGCAGGTCTAAGAGGCATAAGGTTCTTGACTATTAAACATATTGCACCATATTGATCTTGTCTGAAAAATTTCCTCCCCAAATATATACTAGTGATGTACAATTATTATGCTAATGGATACTGCAGGTGACCCTAGACCTCCATTATTCCCCAAAAAACTGTTAAAAGGGAATTAAGTGTGTGAGTACATATCAATATTTTATGGTAGCACATATTAAACAGATGTAGTTATCAAAAATGTTATAAACCCAGGAAACTCACCCTGAAGTTTAAACTTAAAAATAGAAAAGCAAAATTACCGCAACCAAACAACCTGAGACCTTCCCTGCTACAGAACTCCAAAACTTCAAGTATTGTTGAATATCACTGTACATGGGCTACTGTTGAATAATTTATTTTTTAGGAGTAATGGGTATTTCCTCACCACTTGCTTCATTACAGAAAGATCCTACTTTACTAGACAATTTAACTCTATCTTGTCTTGATGCCAGGAGAAGAGCATTGTGTAAAAAAATAAATAAATAAAATCT